AAATCAGCATTCGTCCTCAGTCCTCCAAAATCCTCCAAGTTTTAAATCATCATTCACCCTCAGTCCTCCAAAATCTTCCACTGTTCAAATCATCATTCATCCTAAATCCTCCAAAACCACACGGATGATTTCAGAGGATTGAGGTGGCTTAGGGCTAAAAAGGTACTCTTTAAACTGCTTGGCACGCTGTGAGAAAGAGCAAAGAGCATGGCAGTGCAACTGACCATTGTATGGCAAGGTATCAATAGAACAACATAACACTCATGGGGATTTGACAAAGGATTGTAAACTGTTGCACAATACAAATTTTCAAAATGTTAACACTTTGGTTTATTTTTATATCAAAAACAGTTATGAAGGGAAGTACGGTACACTATATGACCTGTACTTATACCAAAATGGAAGTGGCAAACTGAATACGGCTGAGATGACCTGAGGAGTAATTCATGGTAGAGTGAGCTCAGCAAATCAAAGGAATTTTCAACATACTGTTCCGGGCCGGGGATTTTCCAGCAATATTGGCAGCCACTGGCGATTGACGTTACCGCCAAGCTGTAACTTGGATTCACCCTCGTCGAACAGCTTCATGATATCCACCATCCTGTAGCGGCAAAGAGCTGAGGCTTCCGGTCCATTTCTGAAACAGGACAAGACACAGCATAGTGAAGAGTTTGCTCAATGTGAGACACTTTTTTCTGAAAATGCATGCATCTGGGAAGCATTGCTCCTGACAATCCAAACATGAGTAAAAGACCGTTTCACACAACGTGAGCGAAACACTGCCCCTTTACCACAGATGTCTTTTCAAATACCATGCAAATTAATATACAAGGGAAGGGTACTCCCCCCGCAGAGGTCCATGAAATCCTCTCCCCTTCCCTGGCCCCTTATTTGAAACATGGAAATAAATGTACAAGCTGCAGTTCATCAAATGTCCACTGCCCTGCTGAAAAAAAGGTATGCACCCCAAGTGTCCCTCTAGGAACCTCATACTAGTTACAGTACTTCACCAACAGTGGCATGCTCCTTATCCGTGTGTTCTGAATTTAATGTCAACATTTTAAAGTGTTTGTCAGCAAAGATTAGATGAGTGTGTGCTGTGGTAAGGTATCATATCTGAACCCTTGATGTCATGGTAGCAACATCAGAATATGGGTAATTCCAGACATTTGGGGTCCAGGTTTATCATGTCCCTGTCACGTATGACCTATGATTTTGTAAGTTCATGACACATTTTTCTAATTTCATCAACAGTGATAAATTAATGTAAACTACCTGCCAAACAGTTACTAATAGTTTGCAATCAATTCTGGTGATATTTCCATGTCAAATAACAATAGTCAGATTTAACTGGGACGCAAAAATGTCACACTTTTGGACCCCTAATTTCTGGTAACAAAACAAGTTTCAGATGTGGGGCCAATATTTTAAATTTTGCCAAATCTTCTAGCCTGATTTCAAGTCTGAAGCAAATGATGGCAATTTTTTAAATAAGGTACCGGTACAAGTAGTCAGGGTATGTTGTCAGAGGTCTTTCTGCAACTCAAAGCATGCCTGTATTTTTCAGAGGTAAATCCAGTTTTAATTCTTGTTTTACTTTAGCATCTAGTATTCATAATTATAATACTCAAAGCAGTGTGAGGGGAACTTATACATGTATGTCCAATTTAAGAGAACGTCACTGGCTAAGAAGGATGTTCATCAAGGTATCTTGTACTGGAATGGTCTTGATGATTCTCTCAAATCATTACCTTCTTTATCTGTGTTTGTTAAAAAACTAAAAGCCCATTTGCTCGGCTCATATTCCTAAATAATATTTATTTATGCTCTATTAATGCGGCGTTGTTCACAATTGTTTGTTTTGTCTTGTTCATCATTTTTTCTCTCCTACATTAGATTGTATGGTTGTTTTTTTTCTGTCCCTAGGTTGGGGGTACAAAAGCTTAACCTGCTTAACCTTAAACCTAAATGTTGTCATCTAATTTATCAAAAGTATAATCCTATTTTATGTAATGTTATTCAATTAAATGACCAGGTATATTCAGTGCTTAAGTAATGTAACATGTTTGGTTACATTGTAAAGAATGACATCATTGAAATAAATGTTTCATCATCATCAAACTTACGTTGGTGACGTGAACACAGCGTATGCTTCAGGGCCTTCGTTTCCATCAGTCCAAAGCACATCCTCTGAAAAAAACAAAGAAATAAATCAGTCCCATCAAAAACTGTTGGTACACTTTCTTTATGTAGGACAAATTGTCATAAATAATCTTTTCTGCAAGTTTTATTCCCATTTGTGGCGCAAAGTTGACAAAAAAGGCTTTGTTCCGTTAAAAAAAAAAGGCCATATGTTATTAATCAAAACCAAATAAGTCTTTGGTTTCAGTTTACAGCCTAAATTCTATTTTATTTCTTTGAGAATGTTAAAGCAACAGTACAAATTAACTACTACTATAAAAACATCACCAGCGATGTGACTGCATACAGGACTAATTATTTACAAGTAGCGAGACTGAAATACACATTGAACAAATTCCACGCAAATGAGCACCTACGTATTTCACTGAACTCGTAAGGCAACAGATCATCTGGAATGGAGCAGTTGAGACGTGCCTTGATGAAAGTGACAAACTTCTGGGTGTTCACGGGGCCTCCTGTATCATTCTGATGGAGTATTGCACAGGAAAAAGTGAATGTCGACGGGTCAGTTTGCTTCGTATGTATCGCAGAGCAATATCAAATTACTACACAGCTATACCTCATTCCTACCCACTGCATATTGAAATAAAATCATGGAACAGAATTCCGGGTGAACTTCAAACACTCCGATAAGGCAGTAAGAACTATTTTCATCTAAACACGTACGTGACTATACACGTACACTTATGTGTGCACTGTTTGCACTGGGTGCAAATATCCAATTGTGATTATATGTCTTCTGATATGCAGTAAATTGCATTCTAACGGTATGCCAAAGTATAACTCAAAGCTGGGATGTATTTAATGGACTCATGGTGATTTGGATATAAATGCAAAAAAAGCCACTTGCAAGCCAGAAACAATGCATTTCAACATTGCAAAAGACTATGGCGTTTTGAAGTTAATTGTGGTACAGTATTGAGAATATTCAGACCTTGGAATATTGAGGCTTGCTCCTATATCTGACACAGACAAGAGAACCAAACAATAATTTAAAATCAGTTTTCCAGAGAGACAGTGACCATGGTGACTGAAGGAGATTTTGGTGTTCAGGGGTCTGCCTGTGCAATTATTTTTGCTGCAACCCTTGACGTTTCTCAATTTACCTGCAGTTCAACTTTTGTTTTGCTGATTAAAAATGGGTACTGATTAGAAGATACTTCGCCACCTTTTACGTTTTAAGTCAATGCAAGTTTCCATAAACTGAAATGTCATCCCACATAAGCACTCCATCATTGCTTTTCACATTTGGCAGTCCTAAATTGATATTTCTCTGTTGATTTATTGTTGTTGAAGTACATAAGGGTAGCAGTGAGCTAATGAGCAACCCCTTCTCAGACAAATTTTTCATGAGAAAATTTTAGTTTTACAATTTCTTTCATGAGTTACACACGTGTGCGCTGATACATCATACCAGCAATGCCACCCTAAATTGGCAAAAACTTTTTTTTTAAAGTACATGTGCACTTAACTACAACAGGCTCTCAAAAAAGTGATCGAACATTGAATAAGAGGATGAACTTCAGTGTTCCTACAAAAAATTCATCCCATTAACCCTTTAAGATGTTTGCTGGCACTGCTTCGCATACACGTATGTACGACACCTCGTGCATGTGAGTGTACTGTAACAAAGAGGCAAGAAGTACCTAGTACATGTCAACTGAGAACTGTTAACAATTCTTGCCAAATTCTACAGGGAAGATCTTGCTCAACAAGAAAGTTTGCATGTAAGTACTAATTGGACTGTATGTGTACAACCACTGAGCGCTTTAGATAATTTCCTTGTTTTGTTTTCCTCAAATTCACAGTTAAAGTTATCGGAAAATGAATGGTACACGTCAATTCAATTTCTTTTTAATTGCAAAGGGACATGCATTGGTTCGACAAAGAAAACGTGTCATGCTTCATACACTGTACAAAGGGCTTATGAGAAGTTCAAGCAATGGCAACAAATTACAACCATCTGGAACCCAAGAAGATGTGCCTTGCCCCTGTTTGCTGTCTTCCTGTCACCTCCTGATGAGTCCCCAGACCTACCTGGCATACTCTCGCGATTCTCGAGTACAGTTTCTCCCCGAGGTTGGAATATTCCTCGGCTCTCTCACGGTAGAAAGTGAAAATGTACTTCCTGTCGCTGGAATCAGTGAAAGGGAAGGGTTTGCCGACAAAGACGGCCTCTGAAACAATTGGGAGTTGAAACATAATGAGCAAAACAAATGGGAATCACTACAACTTGCTGATCGACAAAAGCTACAGAACAAGAAGAATTTCAATATGCTTCTTCTGACATCAAATGAAATTAATCTTTCCACAACATGAATTTGAAACGCTCAGTATCTGCTTCAGGCAATGCAAAACTGGACATATCCCTGCATCACCTGAAGTCCCCCCCACATCATCTGACCCTACAACAGAGGTTCCATTCCCGCTATAAAAGAAGTTCTCTTTTTGCTGCATAGTCGTGCTGTGCCACAGAACAACAGAACTTTCAAAGATGTGATTAACAGCCCACCAATTAGACGATACCAGTGTAATCCAGTTTTGTATAACAGAGATTATGATGCGTTACGGTGTCCTCAGAGGGCAAGGGTTTTGTAACACTTGGATATGTTTGAGGAAGCCTTGAGTAAACTAAATTAAAACAATAACGACAGCCTCTTGAGATGGTGATGCCAGCAATACATAACCTCTTTACTGCCAAGCCTACATGTAGCAGACCCGTCCAACTGAACATGTACGGTACTGGTACATATGTAGGTTAACTGAATCATGGCTTACATTGTGAAATAGTAAAACTGATCAATGTTTATGTAAGCACTGGTAAGAATCATTTCATGAAGAGACAGCCTCATGCATAGTCATTTTCAAAAGCTGAAGACCACCGGAATTTTGTTGGTATTTCTGCCGATGGGCCTGCATTACATTTTCTCATTGAATGATTTTAGTCCACAACAAGCTTGCAGTGTTATGATCCCATTTGGAAGACTTTTTTTGCAAAGGCAGGTCTTGTATGACATTTTGTCTGTAATGCAGCATGGTTCAAAAAAGCCATTTTACATGCAAGTCAACAGAAAAAGTGGAGGGCACACTAACTTTTAGACTGTTAACATTTCAAACATGGAAATGTAGTCAAATAATGTGGCTGTTCAACCAAGATGTTAAGGTTACACACTGAAAATAAACATAGGTTGCCGTGATGAATTGGTTTACAGGTATGTTTGGTTTTTCTTCAGGTAAATGCATTTCGTACGTTTGGTCCTAAACTTTTGTAAATGACAGTAATAGAACGCCCAAGCAGTTACTGAATCATATGGTCCTTTCCACTGCACAGATACAACATCACTTGTTTTATAGAATCCCTAATTTAGTCCCCTTTAAGTACAAGTCTCTTCTTTTTATCGGTCCAGTGTAATATCACAACACAAAGTGTCATTGATCACACAATAGTTCATATCTACAACAGATATTCATGTATGCCTTATCAGTTGCTCTCATAATTTTGATAACGTATTTGCTTCTTTTCATTAGAAGCATCATCATCACTTATGAATACGGAAATTTCTTTTCTTACCTGACAGATAACGGAATGGAATTTCTCATTCAATGATCACACCACTGAATATACATGTACCCCAGACAAGCCCACAATACATGTGATCAACCCATTAATCAATCAGAAGACAGGAATTCATTCAGGCCTTGTGTAACACTGCCTCTGAGAGATGCTTGCACACTACACAACATTTCGGGCAAAATGTAGCGCAAGTGACACCGAGTTATAATGCACCATTAGTGGGCTTCACTGGCAGACCTTAATTTTTACCCCGGTTGAAAAACTAATTCTAGTTTTATGTATTATTTGATGAAATGTAAATCAACGACATTGCTAACTTTCCAAACAACACTGTCCACATATAACTGACCTCAATTATCTTATTTCATGTTTTTGGACACAGCTTACCGTTGATAAATTGAAGGCCCACAGTCACAGTATCCAATTCAAAAGTAGTGCTTCCATCAGCACTCAGACCGTAACGTTGGAAGGTATCGCTGTTGGCATCTCCTCCATACAAAATCTCGGATCCATCTTGGTCTAGTAATTGATAAGAAAATGACTGGTTTTGAATCTGGCATGCTGAAAGAACCCTAACACGGAGAAGACTGCAACTTGTTAATAAACAGCAGGATTTCAACTCTAACCTGCTGACAGAGAAATTCACAGTATATGCTCATCCAATCACACGATGTGCAAATATGAGTGACAGTTGATTTCAACTGCAGAGCTATATTAAGTATGAGTACGAGTACCAAGTACGAATATCTGTACCACAACATCAGGTCTGGGTTAGCACTGCTTGCTACAGTGGGAATCCACGACACAGTATACCATGGAAGGACAAAAGAAAGCAGGTACCGGTACATGTGTATGCCGGTATATGAATGTACATGTAGGACTCCGTACTCACGACATGATGTGAACATTATAAAAGTGGCACCAAACAGGTCAACTGCAAAGAATTTGCTTTTACTTTTGCGACTCAACTCTTATTGAACACTCACCAGTTCTTTTGCGAACCACACCTCGCCCCCAAAAAGATAGATTCCATGGTGTACCCGCAAACCCATTTCTCAAGTCTTATTAGCTTTCACTCAAGTCAAGTCTACTGATGAGCGTCTCAAGTCAAGTGAAATCAAGTGACTTGAGTCAAGCTGAGTCATTTACCTGTCAGAACTTGAGTCGAGGCATTAACTCTAGTCATTTAAACTCTGACAAATTTCAAAGTTTTCATAGGTTCATATTCAAAATAATGCATGAAACCCAGCAGGCTTGACTTTGCACAGCAAGTCCTCAGATAATTTAACAGAGTTCTTTGGTTTCAACCTTCACCTCACTCCCTTCCTTTTCTTGTCAAATATGCTCCCTTAACCCTATAAGTCCTAAATCCTCCAATTTCAGTTTGAATCTACAAGTACAGTACATACACCCTAGGGGGCAGGGTTAATTTGCTAAAAATAACTATGCTGTTTCAAGCTATTACTCATAGTTATGAAAATGCTGTGACAACAAAGCATTGTGTTTTGTTTGTCCTGGCACTCATAAGTTGTGACTGATCTTTTGAGGGGATTTGAGGGTGCTGTCACTGTGATGTCATTTTTTTGGGGGGGGGGGTAATTTTATGAGAGCTCTGTTCAAAGGGTGTACTTTCCTCGCACTGGAACCACAATTATTAAACAAAGTGTCCACAATTCTGTCAGGTTTTTAACAGGCACTAAGGTATATGTACATTGTACTTGTAACATTGAGCTCTACCTCTCAAACAGTGTCACACTTTTGCCCAGGAATATGCAAATTTGCAATGGCATAGAAATAAAAGAGACATCAAAATTAAAAAGAAAAAAACTACATGACCCTCATCAAAGAAACTAAGTATCAGAGACCCAAAGGTCTGAGACATTTAAGAGTTTTTCTCATGCCAAAAGATGCAAGTGGCTTACTGAAGACAGCAGCAGATGGATTGACACCAGGCAGTAAAGGTACCAGTTTTGGTGCAGCGCCACTCACGCTGGAACAGTTCATCAGGTCTTGGGAGCACTGCATACAAGTACAGCAACAAAAATCATTGACTGTGGTCAAACTAGGTTTACCATCACCACTATTTCCATTGTCCCAAATGCAGCCAGTGTCTTGTGTCCACTGTCCCAACTGGTCATGCCTGAATTGTCTTGCCACGGTTTGAATTTGCAAATAAGTCTACCGTAGAGGCTAAAGCCATCTTTTAAAAGCATTTCCACTTTCACAAGTATACAAGGAACATATACTTGTACTAGAAGATGGGGTTACTATCCTGTGTACACATTTCAGTTGAGCGAGACCAACTCTTCTGACACAGTTGGGCATGGACTCATTTCGGGCAGTGGACACAGTTAGGACATTAAGCGAACAACAAGCAATCGCAAAAACTGGTTTTTTTTTCTCAGTTTTCTGCACTCTGAAATTTGTTTTCTATTGTGGAGATAGAGTGAGTTATGTGAGACTAGTTTGTTTGCTGCCACCAAGAGTCTCAAAGTCTCACAAGGCTTCATTTCTCCACCCCAATTCACAAAACAACACAAAACAAAAACAGGAACATGGCTGAGACGGGAAAAAGACTAAAAAAGTTTATAAGGTAGATCTTTCCACGGATTCATTTGGGCTTTGCCCTCATGCATGTTTGCAATAAAAACAATCTGCACACTTTCCAAGTGCCACACACCGCACAGCAAATGGTTCTCATACCAAGTAGCAGAGGGCACTTTGTGAATTGGTGCCGCAAACGTAGGAACCACTTGAACTTGTCTCCTCAGCCACACGGATGAAATTCCAACACTCCTTCTGTGGATCAAACAGTGTGACAGCATTGTGAATAACAAATTATGCTACATGTACGTGTACATTGCACAGAACGCTGCCTCCAATGCAACTGGGCTTAACATGACCATCAAGGGCACACATGAAACTTATGATATCATCTATAAACCAACACCACACAAAGTTTGGAAAAATAACAAACATGCTTGCAGTATTTTCAGAAACCTATTTGAGATTTTTTTCAGGAACAAAGGTTTTGATTGTAAAATATTAGAGGTTTGCTGATGCCGGGCAGAATGGGACAGAGAATGCAGAATTAGTAGTATGTGCTGCATCCAATCACATTTCAGTAGTTTTGAATGCCATGCCAGTTACCAACTCATGGAAGAGGACAGGTTTCCAGTTTAATTCTATTAACGAATACTATCAATATCACTAATACACCTTTCTTTAGTTTAAAAGCATTGACCGCCATTTTGTACAGGTGGCCAAAGTATACAGAATATTCAGTCTTGGTTGGCAACGATTTCTGCGGTGAAGTGCACTTTTGCATTATTTATTTAAAATTGGCAGGTGTTTCCATTTAATACAAGTAAATTTAGCAGTTAGTGTTTCAATGTTAGTGTGTGGTATTTGCATAAGATTTTCCAAAACTTTATAAATTTCCAAGGATGGAAATATTGGAAAGGATGGAAAAATTACTTAGATTTTGTAATTACAGCCACTCATAATTTTGCCAACTTACTGTTGTCACACAACAGTGCTTGTAGTGTACATGTATTTCACTTTCCCAAGCATACAAAATATAGGGGTCAAAAGCCAGTGCTCAGTTTTCACAAACCACAAAAAAACATTACGATTGGCCATCACCAGAGGGACTGTTTGTGTCATGCGTATCTCGATCGTGATCAGTGATCTGACGCTGGTTCACTGACACGAAAACCCTCCTAATGGATAGAGCAAAGCAGCTTTTGGATCACTCATTGAGATCCAGATCCAAGTGAAACAGACAGGCCCGTTGTCTCGCATTTTCTTTCAAAGAGCAACAAGTCAGAGGAAAACTGAACACTTCATGCGCTAAAAAAAAGATAGAAAAATGGATGGCCTCTTTTAGTCCAATAAGGTCCACGTGTAAGCAGATGTCTCACCTCAGGGTCCGTACTTTTCTGGTCACAAGAAACAATTAAAGGCGGCTCATCTGTCACCAGGTCTGTTGTCTGCGAGGGAAAGATAAACCAGTCAGAGACATTTTATGCACACCAGTGTCGGGAGACTGAAAACCGATATCCCCTGACATGGGAACAGATAAAATGTTGCAGCAAAAACCTTACCTTTGCAAAGTTGACTTGAATTTGTACTTACATGTGCATGCAATTTATAACAGTAATTATGTAACAGTTTATGTAGGCATAAGCTCATCCAAAAATCCAGAGCAATAGAACAATATCAATGAAAATGACCTATAAAATCTTCTTTACGTCCACGTAAAGTGTTGAATGACAAAAAAATCATCTTGCTTTAACATATTAGCTGCTGACAATAATTTCACAGGGTTCCCCCAGCTGCAAACAATGTAAGCGCATGCACAAAGTTGCGTGGCCTCCTCCAGCTGTCTTAACCTCTTGACGTTGGGACTTTTTTCTGAAAGCCGACTCTGAGAATTCCAGCCTCGCTTGACCACGAAGGCCACCTGCCAAACCGCAAATTCTCAGTTTGTGGCCCTGCGTGCTCTACACGCTTTGATTTACACAGTGAAATGGCTTCCACATTCCCACTGCCTCTTTTCAAAGTGGGGACTATTGTGAAGCTGGTGATTATGATGCAAAATCGGCCTTTTCATTTCTTGGCAACGCCACAGCTTTCAGATTTGATAAAATAATCAGTTCCTAATCACAGAATTTAAAAATTCATGTATGGGAAAAAATTATAGCTGAGGCTCAAGGTACATGAACATCAGACCTTCAAAGATTTCACAAAACATGGTGTAAATTTGAACCCCTGTGCCATAAAATGTGTACTGTATCTATGCAGTATGCTTATGTTTGATTTTACGATGACTTGCTTACATGTAGCCATGCAAAATTTTAATTATATTAATGAGTATAATGGCTTTTACAAAGGCTGTTCCTTTGAAATGAGACAGCAGTCACCAAACAGTCACTGCTTATCTCCGCCTACCATTTTAAAAAGTTTTCGTTTCTTTTTCTTTTCTTTATCAGAACCACCCAGAAATTCTTCAAGTTCTCTCACAGCCAAACAAGTGATTCATTACCCTTTCAAACAAAGTCTTATGTTTCTTGAGACCTTTTTAAGTTAAGAAATGACGAGCCTTAACTGAATACGATCAGTTGCATGTACAATGTACTCATATTAATCATTGTTTTCTTTGTTCATCACAATGTACGCCACCTAAAATGATCGTGTAAGTCTACACCACAATTTGTTGTGCAAGTCGCAGACTTGCGCAGTGCTTAAGTTTCATGAAATCGCTCTTACTTTGTTGCGCAACGTACACAATAAAATGTGGCATAATTGACGTTACGTCGTTGCGTCAAGTTTCACGAAATTGACTGCAGAGTACTACCACACCGACACATTACACACAATGCATTAGCAGTAACGAAGCCTAAAAGCTGACAAGATTTCTCATCAGGGACCAAACGAAAAAGAGTTGGGGGCAGGTGGCCAAGTGGTTAGGGTCTGTGGCTTCCAGTCATAGGGTTGGGCATTCGAATCCAGTTGCTGGCAGTATGTCGTGCCCTTGGCAAGCCACTTCATCCCCTGCTTGCCTCTCTCCACCCAGAAGTATAAATGGGTACCAACATTAGCTGGGAAGCAACCTGCGATGGACTGACATCCCATCCGAAGAATAGAAATATTTCCTACAAAGGAAACTAGAGATAAACACTGGCCTGATGAGCCGAATGGCTTGGACCAGACTTGCTTTTTAACAGAAAAGAGACTTACATAAATTGAGGTTGCACTATTTGTTGCATTTATGCTCAATTTTATGAGTGTCTCGTTGCCTCCGATGTAGACCACCTCATTGCCAGTATTCTTAATCTTGTTGAGTATTCGGTAGAATGGCTGACCAGTCTTCGATGGTTGGTGGAACTTGACATCAAAAGAGAGACCTATGATTTTCAAAAGAAAAAATAAGGGGATGCCAGGCCTGTTTGTTTCATAATACGGATCTGAAGCTCGATCAGCGATCCATCATTGGTTCACTGACACCAGAGCCTGCCTAATGAATAGAGTGAACCAGCATTGGAATATCACTGATCGACTAGGTCCCTGTTTGCGTAGGTCACAATAATGTGTTTCCATATGATTGCATATCACTGGAAACTGATCCATCGTACTCCTTGCGTCTTAAGTCGATATGGAAACCAGACTTATCTGAAAACATTATTCACTACCCTTTAACCTTATAAACATGCTACCGGTAGGTTTACATAATTGTTTGCACTGTTAGCATCAACTTACAAATTAATGCGACATGGCAAAAGGTCAGAACCTCATTGGATGGGCACACAAATGGGATTACATGTAACACGTAGTCATCTTCACTCCTCATGTTTCAGTATTATCCATCGACCCCTGGGGGCTTTGGTTTAAAGAAAATGGGCCCAGTACAGGGTTCATACTCTTTCTCATGAATTAAATTCCATGATTTTTCCATGACCTTTCTGGCCAGATTCCATGACTTTTCCATGACTTTAAACCAAGTTTTTATGTGACAGATTGAAAATTTGATCTCAAAGAATAGCGAATTAAAGTGCATACATGTATGTATTAAGTGTCCAATGAAAAGCAGCTTTAATTTGTTCATCTTGTTATTTCAACAATTATAATTACAGGTTTTTTTGTTAAATCAAATTTGATATGCACTGCTGGATAGAAAATCATTACCAGAATTATACCTACATGTATGTCAATATTGTTGAATTTTTAAGTCAACTTTTAATTCTGAATAATACAAAATTGCCAGTTCCTGGTTTCATGGGCCACCATGAATGCTGCACCAGCTCTTTTCCCAGGCTGTTCTCTTGCATGCAACCACCACCAGGCTGTTCTCTTGCACGCAACTACCACCCCCCCAAAAAAAACCATGCACACGTCAATGTTGATTTCACCAGCAAAATACAGTACTAGCATCATCTGATTGTAAATTCTTGTTTAGCTAGCATTCAGTTTGGTCTGTTATTTCTGTATGAGTTTTTCTTGAGACATCTGTGCTATTTACAGAAGGTGCTGTAAACTTGTCCAAGTACTTTAGGAATTTTTGATGGCATTCAGCTGTTCATTAATCTGTTTCTGAATCACTTCTAATTCCAACATCTTCTCCTTTGCTGTACGTCGGAGGCTGTTTCATTTGGAAATACAAGTTAAGCTTCCTTTTGACTCAGCTTCCTTCTCTCAGTCTCTCTTCAAGCATTATGTAAGTGATCCCTTTCGCCACGGAAGCTGGGTACATGGATGAGCCTTTTGCCACATACGCCTTGACTAAAGGCTAGCCGAGTAGCCACAGCCACGCACACAATGAACCGCCATGTTACACTGACATGCACACACCACGCGCTCAAGAACTTATCATTTTCACAATCAGTCGATAAATGTTACGAATGAAAGAAAGTACGAGAAGAAATTGGTTGAAATATTTTCAATTATTAATCTTTACAACTGAATTTTCACAAATTTTTATATTCCTTGGCTTTCCATGACTTTTCAGTGAAAGACCAAATTTTCCATGACTTTCAAGGCTTGAAACCAAAAAAGTAAAATTCCATGACTTTCCAGGTCTTCCATGACCAGTATGAACCCTGCAGTATACATGTACATGTATGTACACTCACTAAGGGTAGGATGTTTACACGTTTAAATAAAAAAAGGTCCAAATCCTTTTACAGATTTTTCCCAAATGTTTAAATGGAACCACCCTTTTTAGAGGTTTGACGTTTTGAATGAAGCAATCCGGTGTTCATTTTCATTGTAAATGATGCTTGTTACTTGTACATACTGTTCTTTTTTCCCCACTTTTTTTGCACTTTTTGAGAAAAAATGTGGATTCTAAAAGAATAATCATTGCTTGCCCCAAGCAATCTAAATTTTACATAGGTTCAGCCATGTGTATTGTTTAACTATATAATTATGCACATGTACGATAACACTGAGGTAGGCAGCGGAAGTCTCTGTGAAGTGTTGGCTAAATGTTCAAATGTTGTGGGAACGTTTTCTAAATGTTTTTCAAATTCAACGTAAATTCCCACCCTCAACACAGACAGGTGTCTTGTACTTGTGGGAACCAAAATCTGTAGGAGGCCAACCTTTTGTTTCAACAACTTGGTTCCAATTCTCCTAACAAAAAAAACTGTGCCATTAACACGGTTAAAATATACGCTGATACCCACATGTGCATAAACTGGGAGTTACCGTTAGTGTATAATGTACTTGCCACAACTTCCTCCTGGCAAAACAATGTTAACTCATACACATATAAACACGTATACATGTACATGTACTGTTTATGCATGAATTAACCAACCATACATGTATGACCACTATGACTGTACACATGTACATGTGGTTTCCGCCTGTTAGCAACCACTGGGCCCAGATGCAAAGTACATGTACATGTAGTTCCTCCTCAATCCTGAGTCACTGCACCACTAAGTTCATGAACAAAATGACTCAAGTGTGAACCTGCACATACATGTACAATACATTTCATGCACTGGTACATGTACATGTATGATTCATTTTTTATTTGCCAGCTTCAGTACGTTTTTAGTCCACATTAGGCCCATAAACAAGTGAGGTTGCCCAGCTGGAAGTCTGTTACCATGGCATTACCTGATCCTCGCCAAGTCTCCATTTCAAAAAATTTAAAACGTATCAAGGTTCATCCTGATAGTGACTCATCTACTGTACCGCATAGCCTACTTTACAATACCTCGCAGCTTATCCAGTGTAATTCTTGGCCGGTCAGTCTTCAGCCTCATTGAGGTCACAAGGACCTTGTCAACAGGAAGGAACATCAACAGCCACAAGGCTGCCACAAACATCACAAGTGGGTGGTGATACATCCTGTCAGAGAGAATACAACACTGTACTGTATCGATACAAGAAGCATGGTCAAACTTGTAAAGCCATGTGCAACTATATGAACTGAGCCTTTTGCGAGTTCAATTTGATTAAAATCAGTTACACTTGAGTTTCTATAAATTCGCAAGAACATAACAATTTTAATTCTCCATACTTAAAGCACTGTTGTTATACCTGATGATTCGGGGCAAGCTTTTGGTTAGTTACATCTAAGAGATGGCTTGCAACAATACACAGATCTCAATGGATAAGGACACAAAAGAACCAGTCCATTCCAGAGAGGGTGGTTGCTATGCAAAAGCTTGGGCATTACAAAGTACACAGTGTTGCGTTCCCTAAATATCAAGTCGATGGTAGCACGGATTTTATTAGTGTCTACAGGATGTGATATTTGGGGTCAACAATTTATTAAAGGGTGGACGTGAAACAAGGGGTTTTGGGTGACAGTCAAACTGTATGGTTGGTTTATTGCTCTCACTTCTCTTCATCAAAGTTCAGTATGGGTGTGAAGAAGATGTAGCTTAACATAATACAACACACAAAAAGCAAAGTTATAGAGAGGCGAAGTCGTATATGAGTGTAACTAAACTGCGGTTTGGCAGGACCATTGGAAATGCAAGTCAGACGGAGTGGGTACGGTACGTGTGTGTAGCATCGCACAGCTAGGCTACACTCATTTACCGTATGTACATATGGTAAATGGAAACAAGAAAACTGCATGTACAGTACATGTACGTCTACCAGGTATGTGCAGTAATTAGGCTTATCCTGTTATCAGGAAATGAAAAAAGGAAGAACTTGGCTTTGGATTATTATGTACATGTACATAATTGTACACAGTGTGAGGTACACTGAAGCATAAATTACTGATCAAAGCACAGCCAACATGCCACAGTAAAAAGACAGAGTGAACAAAGGTCGTCTGAGTTGCCATGGTTCAGGGGAAATCCCCAATGCATTCCCCTCTGCACACGTAAGCACACGCCCAAAGACAATTATCTATCTACATAAAGGGACCCACCCATAGCTAGTCATGCCATATGCGACGTACATGTGTACATTTATGTACATACTCCGTATACACTGTACATGTACATGTATGCATGTACACAGATGCCAGTTCATGCATTATACACGGCATTATGCACCCGAAGTGTGCAAACTGCACGAAATGCTCCTTATCACTAAAATCATAGAGCCTAGTCGCAAATGTAGGCCTACAACCTACAAAATGTGCACACCCCTTAGGGCTGGTTTGTAAACACTTTCTTGTAGTTGTTTGATTTGGACAGGAAGATGTCTGGCAAAGATGGTTTGGAACACACAAAATCACAAATAACTTTTTTCTAAGGGAGCTAGGGCATGTACAAGTACACGTAGATGTAAAATGGGTGAATCCTTCAAATTACTGGTATAAGTAGTTATTAATAACATGAATAACGTCTGGGAGACATGTTGTATACCCATGTACTATACATGCCTGTATGATATTTTCAAATAAGGATCCAGATACAGCAGCAAAATTGTCGTGTTGTCTTTATAATAATAAACCGGGTTAGTCAAACAACATACTGTACAGACACGTCTGTTTGGGTTGACAGCAAGCTTTCCTGAAACATACATGTACATGTATTACTGTAAGAAGATAGATTCAAATGTCAATTTCCAGCAGAATGGTTTACAGACATGTACATTGGAAACTTGAAGATACCAGTTGAAAAGTGCTACCGGTGCTTTCTATTGAAATAAGTTATCTTTAGTATGACTAACAGTGCATGTACAACATGGAATACTAACAATGGTACTGGTATACATGTAATAGTACCCTAACCAAATTAATTAAACTTCTGGTTACACCTACAAAACATGGCTTTGACCCACCGGCTAAAAAGCACCTCTTTAGAATTTTAACACACTCCATATTCCTGATTTACATTACGCGGGACCACCATGGGGTTATATTTCCATTTATCCAACTCACTTTGGGGTTGTTTCACCAAGAATACCAAAATCCATCTAAACTTGGCCCCATGAAAAATAGTTCTATTTGTACTTCCCATTTCATGTGCATGTCATTTACCTTAGTTACTGTAGATACATGTACATGAGGGTAGTGATACGATTGTTTTCCCTCAAGTCTTTCCCTACTGCTTCAGTGTGCAGCTGCTGCAGGTGTTTACTAAGACTAATGACAGCTAGAGAGGTCAGGTGGCATTTGTTTCAAATGAAATGAACAGCAGTTGTGTGCATACTCGTACAAATAAAGTCTGTTGGACTCTCTGTATCACATTCAATCTAGGCACAACAGACACATTTTTTTTCTTTATTTCCAAGCATACATTGTACATTTCACAACCCCCCCCAAATCCTTCAGAATAGCACTGTCAATCAAGGGTAGGTGGGGAAACGGGAAATATTGTAACTTTTTTTTGAGGGGGGTATCTATTCATGAATACATTTGACAGGTATCAAGGACCTACATGTATTCTTTAGAGTAACGCTACCTAGCCTTTCTCCATTTCCCCTATTTGATCGACTGACCAGTTTTTTTAATATCTTGTCTTGAGAAGCATTTCTTGTAAATGGAGATTTGTGCACTGAAGGTTTTTGACAGAAATGAACAAAAGTAACAAACAAATTGCAGATGGCATGAAATATGGCACCGTGCATGGTACATGTACATGTATACCCAGGCAAGGTATACACGTACGTGTACATAACTACAAAATTAACATTAAATTAATGTATACATGTGGGTGTACATTATGCATTGTGGATTTTTTTGTCCCCATACCCCTCTATCCACTTTCCTTACAAAGCAAAGTGCCCTTTCATTGTGATAAATTATCTTACATTCTGATGAGCATACTGGTAAATGCATGTTATATTAATCTGCATATAGAAATTGGCCCTGGAGGACTGATACGGTACATGTACATCATAACTCCAGACAACAGAAAGAGAGTCAAAGAAATTATGAAATTAATTGTGCCATTTGGATGTTGGAAATATATATTTTATTGATCCATTTGTTAAAGAGCTCTGTTAGGATCCCATGTGGTTTTTAACAGTCGGAATGAACCAATCTAGAAAACAGGTGAAAGTGTGTACATGTACATTTCTATACCAATCTAGAAAACAGGAGAAAGTGTGTACATGTACATTTCTAAACGAATGTACACGTATTTTGCTCTTCCCTTCACTTTACTTCGGGCACCACCCACCCATTCCAGAAAATGTGTATGAATTATGCTGCTGTAATTAAATGAATACGTGTACATGTATTTTCAAATGTATTGTTCGTGCTCCTCTAATCTTTAAAACATGCTTCATTTCTCTTCGCCCTGCCACGAGGACTTTAATTTATTTCTTGTCCACTCGGGACCGGGGTTCTATGTCTCATCTTTATTGTTATGTATCGTATTGTGGTTGAATATTCAATAAAGACGATTAAATAGATACATAGACTTACTGATTATGCGTATTTCACACATACCTGTACATACGTGTACATTGTATGCACTAGTACATGCACATATCCGATACTTATTTATGTTACATTCATGTACATCTCATACTCTGCTACAAATATGCATGTATAAATTCATGTACTGTACATGCACAGTGTACATGTACATGTAGTTTCCTGGTGAAAATATTTTGGGGCCTGGCATCAAGCTTTTGCTCGGAATTGTTCCTGTGTTATTCAATGCACAAGGCATTCAAGGCATCTGTTCTATGACAAGGGAACAATCCATGCCTTAAAAATGTTTTTTTCAGAGCTACATGTACATGTACATCGACCCCTGAAAGTGGCAATTTGAAAAGTACCAGTACGTGTATAGTACATGTATGTTTCCACTGGTTACTGGTACATTTCAGCAGACAATTAAGACTAAGGGCTTAGAATTCAAAGGAAATTGAAATGTGGAGCAGTTGCGAAAGTAGCTTTTATGCTTCCAACCAGGAGGGCCTTGGGGTCTTGGAATGATAATGCACTCAGCCAAACCATTATTGTTGCAAAGTTATGGTACATGCATTTCCTAAGGAAACTTCCAGTATTTCCTTAAAATTATTTTCCAGTATACATGTAAACATGTACATGTACGCATGTACATGTGTACATTGTAAGAAATATCCTGAAAAAAATTTCCAGTCTAAACAATTCCCTGCATTGCCTACATTTACATAATTTATCGGTACATCATAACATTTAGTATTTCTTGTGATTGTGGATCCATGGATGGAACATCAATCCATGTTCTATTTATGCTTAATGGAACATTCCACTTTTGCAGGGCAGCCATCCAATGCATTAGGATAAAACTGCTCAGATGACAAAAGATTTGAGCATACCAATAGCCCCAAGACTAGGGACCAGTCTAATGAACTACATTCAGGTACATACTGTCTCCTTGGAGACCAAGGACCAAGGATATCTATGGATACTTTACCCAGTACAGTAGACCAGCCCTAGTTGCTAGTCTGGGGTAAGGGTGAACACAGCAGCTGTACATCAGTTTCATGCATTGTGTAGTCCACACCCTCATTAAAGGGTGCTTTCGTTGGACATGCCATTATTCACTTTGCTTCAGCTACACAAATCTGCACTAAGAGGACACACCCAATGAAATAAAATAAAATTCTAGGGACAATATTCATGAGCACATGTGAGAGAATAAGGTAGGCCTACATGAACTTGAATTTGAAAAAGCTTTCAGTTGGCAATTTTAAGAACACATTGATGAATGTGTTGTTTAAAGTCTACAAACATGTACATGTACATGTCGGCAGGGGTAATTTCTTTTTCCTATCCCTATTGTGTGGCAAATGATTTCATTATTTCTGGATGTACCACGGTACCACTACACCATAACGTCTTGGGCCTGCATGACTATTAAATACATGCTGGGAACATGTTGAATAAAAGCACACGTAACTGGGAAAAATGGCACACTATGGGCAACTCGCAAAACAACAAAACCTCTAACTAAACCAAGGATCTTTGAAGGAAAAGTCGCAGGGAACTGAACTGAATTAATAAGGACTCAGACATCAACATTTGACTTCAAAAAAGGGACAAAAAAAGTACAGGAAAGAGGCAAAAAACCAAAAGGACTGAAGGACTAAAAAACACCCAAATAATAATACTTTAAAAAGCCTCAAAACCAAAACCCAACACAGTGAGTAAAATAGACCTTATTAGTTTACACTCAGACTTCAATCACTGACTTCTAGCAGAATAGGGCTCAAGCAGAAAACTACGCTCCAGTTAGGAATAGAAGGAACAATACATGTAAAGGCGACTGGTCTCTGCTGATCTGCTACACTGAGTGTGACCAGACCATGTGGTAACTCTATATGGGGGAAGCTGGGGCTTAAACAAATGAACAGGGGGGCACACTACTGGAAAAAATCAAGAACTCTAGACTAAAGATAAACATTTTTAAAGGGGAAACTAATGTAAAAACGTGTATGTAATAACAATCATTTATGGCTCTGCCACACACACCAAGGTACAGGTACATATGCACATGTATGTTGGTGGGGCAACCCTTATAAAATATTAGCTAAACAGTTACATGTAAACCTCTTATTAAAGTTTGGCCAAAAGCTATTGAATTAATTGCTAAATTTCCAACCACTAAGAAATAAATAAGCAGTTTAAATGTAAATGACATACATGTACATGTACATGTACCATTCACATGTGATGTGGTGTGGGTCCAAGCAATACCTTCCAATCATTTACCCTTTCCCCTTTTTACCCGTTTTTGTTTTCAAAATGAGAAAACAATGAACAAAGAGGGACAAACCTATTTGCCAAATTTCTCCAGAAAAAAACCAAAAGCAAAACAAAGCTCATGTCAACTGCAGAATACCCCACCACTCCGCATGATCAACCTCAAATCCAGGTACAGGTCAAAGTGTCACACTCTTCTCAAGGGATTTTCACCTCGTACCCACGTAACTAGTCATTCCAAAGGTCATTTTTTAGAGTGGCAGGGCATTCTTCAATTACTCCCAAAACAAAAATGAAACAAATACATGTATTCATTTATTGTTTTTTTTTCATTTAAGAATGGCAACTGGAGGATCTGACAATGAATGAATAGCCTACCAGGTGTTGCTTTTTATGCTGGCATGGCAACTGAACATGTTACAGGCATTGCTTGGCTGGACTTACAAATTTTACTGCAATCAATTTTTGTCCAGTAACCTGCTAATACCATCATTATGAGTTTGTATTACAAGATGGAATTCTGGCCGACCAGTACATGAAGAAAAATTTTGGACCTTTTTTACCTCTAAAAGGAATCGTCAAGAGCCAGAGATCACGAAAAGAAAAGTGAAATACAGTATCCTGCTGTTAACTTAGAATTTGATTGAAAACACTGAAGTACTCAGTAAGATATTAGGATTTGGGGGGACAGGGGAAGAACTGCACTTCACCATGGTGGTCCTGCGGGGAATTGATCTCCAGATCATGTTCTTAATGTAAAGGACAACTTGACAACCAATCCTAAGCAACACACTCCATCTATTATCATATGGGAATCGAGCAATTAGATCATGGTACTGCTTTGGTGCAAGCTATTCAACAAAAACAATGTGTGACCTGATGACGGCAAATACATTTCATTTAAAATTGAAATACTAAGCCCAAACATGTTAACACAAGGTCTTTACATCTGTTGTGGGATCAAGACACAGACCTACATGTACATGTAAAGTACTGTATATAGGCCTACACCATGTACATATGGTAAACACACCAACCCTACTGGTAAATGCTATTATTACTTGATATAGCATGCGATAGTACGAGTTGATAATCTACATCAGTACATGATGTACGGTAGTAGCATTGACTTCATTTGTAAACAATGCCTGAACATAAACAGTGAAGCATATTTGTTCAATCATTTACCAGCAGTATAGGCCCAGTCTGACCAGCTTGGACTCTACAAATCACCTTTTTTCAATATTTGGACATGGTCAGACGATCACCCGACCATGTCCAAATATTTAAAAAGGCAATAGACATGATGGAGAGGATACTAGGACAGTGCCAGTGGGAGTAGGCCTAGGGTCGGCAGTACGCGCAATGTACAGATATGGAGGCCTCCCGTAATGGCAGGGAAAAGTTTAACATGTCCAAAACAAGCAATTTTAATCTCATATGATGAAACGAACTTAAAACTAAAATACGTACTTACTTCGTATAAAACTTTGTAGTTGATGATACAAAACCTTAAGGTCTGACTCCAGAGATTAAAGAAATTTAATGTACATGTACGCCTGTTCCACGCACAACGGAAACTTCGTCTGGTCGCCTCTGCATCCATGTAAGACAGCACTTCCGTGTTCACGCCCTCTTGCGGCGGCAATTGGTTAAATCGCCTGTTTCCTTGGCCTCAACGCATGACGGCGGCTGCCTCGCCTGTACTTGCGCTAGCCTTTTCCGGCTTTAACACAACAGCTGTCTGGCGAGAATAGGGGTCGCCCCCCCCCGCTACGACTACCAAATAGAATGGAAACTGGACACTCGAGTAGTTGCCAAAAACCCTGATACATTGCACAGCTTTCTTGAGATTCAACCCACCATTGGTCAGTATTTGGGGAATTAACTACAATAGAAATAGCGAGATATCACCGTACATGTACACACTCAGTAGATTTTGATGAGACGGTTGAATTAAAAAAAAAAACTAGTATGAAAGAGATCCCGCTTGTCTTTGTTTTGTCCTACTACCGACAAGTAAGACTTTCAGCGTTAAAACGGACCCTTTTCAAAAACTAGAGTTTGAATAGTATAGCAGAAATGAATATCTTGGTTCACCATCACTGCGTACAAACGGCACAGGCATGTAAAAGATGGCTTGGTATGGTCGACGATTTATCGATCTCCACTATCCAACCAAAAAGAAAAGGTATGGATGACAACATTGACATCCTAACGGAACTCTTTGGAGAAACAAAATTAAGAGGGTGTCGGGCAGGTATGGAATTCAACACCAAAAAAAAATTGGAATCTACCTCTTCCGATCATATATCTAAACGAACAGTAAACTCCATATAAAGATTCGTTACCATCATTAGCAGTAAATACATACGAAAGAAAAAAAATGGTGACTGGTGAAAAGCAAAAAAAGCACAGAAAATACGCATTGCTTCCCCAACCAGATACAGGAAAGAGAAAACAAGCGGGACAACATTACAGGGTCTCTTAAAAAGGAAACCGGGATTAACCAGTTTCTTGAATGTGACTAATTATTTTCGTCAATGGTAAATATTTTGTTTCAATGTGATGACTTCTTTCGTATATAACACCAAGAAATCCACATCACATAACTTAGCACTGAGTGATTGGTTTAATGGACCTTGTCAGAAATAGCTTTGCACCAGATGCATCATAGGTTTGCATAGAGCAAAGCATTCAGGCACACTGTCTCCCAAAATCATCAATAGAGCCTAAAAGTAAAAGGTCACGCAGCGAGCTTCCGGAACCCTCGCGCGGTCTGCCTATGGGGATGTTACATTAGGCCGTCCTATCACGTTCGATAATTCTTGGAAAAATAATTCCTTACTGAAACCACCCCATGAAACACTCATTTTGGAATTTTACCTCTGTCTTCCTCAAGTAATATTTTGGAAAAGTCACCTGGAGATTGGTAAAAAACGAATTTTATTTCACATCCGACGACATCGTACCTAGGTTTCCATGATCATGCACGTTTGTTTGCACTCGCCGTGCTTTCTTGAAAACGAGATTGTACAACCTTGCAAAGATTTGCCTACCTGCAGTCGATGGTTTCCAGATTCCGTTGAGATGACACCACGCAGTTGTTTTCAGCAAAGGTTAGATAAAATATTAGAACCTTCCGTAAAAGTAGAATATTGCTTTGTGTTTATCACTTTATAAATTATCAAATTATGCAAAATATTTTGGTCGGTTTTTATTTTGGTTTCTACCCACAGACTACCATAAAATCTCAAACCATAAATATTCATCTGCGTACGACACTGCCGTATTGCACTGATCTTCATGGATTTTAGATTTTCGGAAGTGATTGGCCAATTTTTTGCAAGATATTTCTCTGTTAGGTCAGGTAATTGTTCAGTTTCTATAAATTGATATACTAGCAAATATTTTCCAAAGCCCTTTTTCCAAGTTGGATTTTTTTAAGAAGAAACTGAAAGAAAAATGTTACAAATTCTAAAATCTTCGCCCGTTATTTTTCCTATCCAAGGGTTCCGGAAGCGCGCCGTCAGGGGTCAACTTTCAGGCTCTATACAGGCGATGCACAATAGTGCGCCTCCAAGAGTTTGCAACGTGTTAGCCAATCACAACGCGCG